TATTATTCTTCCTTATTCTTTCGTATTTGTTGAAATTGTTTACCTGATGTTATTGAATTATTATTTGTATTAATAGTAGCTGTTACATTTGAAAGACTTGAATTAAGTGTGGAGGATGATGATGACATATTAAGACCTGTAGATGATGTTACTGCCATCTTACCACTGGTGGGTGGTGTTGGTAGTGGTGGTTTTAAGAGATTTAGAATGATGATGATGATGGCTAAATGTACTACCACTCATTATACTTGTATTATTAAGATTTGGAATACTTATATTAATAGTATTGGTATTATTTGTATTTGAATTGGTCATTATAGTTGAATTTAATCTTGTAAATGACATATCTTCCTCACCATTATCATCATTTATATTATTGTGATTGAATGTACTAGTAGTGATCATATTACTTGCCAATTTAGATTCATTATTATTTACATATATAGATTCTCTTATAGGTTTAATTGGTGAAGTATTATCCTTATTTAAAAATGCTATTGAATTATTAAGATTTAAATTACTACTATTACTATTATTTGAAAATAGTGATTTTGTAACTAGAAGTGAAGTTTTTGAATCATTCTTTTGTGTTGGTTGTTTTTCATTCAATCTCTTAAATCTATCTGCCAATGTTAAAGGATTTGATAAAATACTATTGGTAATATCACTTTTAATTATACTTGGTCTGGAATTGAGAGTATTACTCAAACCAATAGTAGTGGTATTAGTATTTGTTTTTGATAGTGATGATGATGAGATATTGTTATTAATTGTATTCATTGGATTATTAATGGCTGATGAAAATGAATTATCATTAGATTGTTGAACTGATTTTCCATGATTCATTTTCATTCTCTTTCTTGAAGCAATTAAATCATCATTCTCTTCCTCTTCATCATCACTCGAATCAAATATTGACTTGTTATTATTATTATTACTGGTAATTGTAGCACTACTATTATTTAAACTATTTGATGAATTACTAAATAAATTACTAGCTATGGCACTTCTTTCTTGTTCTGAAAGTGGTTTCCATGATGTAATAGGCTTAATACCATTAGATTTTTGATAGAGTGAAGATCTTGAGAGGTAATCAAATTGTTGAGGTTGAGGTTGGATTATGAGATGAAGTAAGGTCATGAATTTGATGATCATCTTGATCCATTGAAGAAGATGGTACATCCAAATTCTTTCTAACAGAGGAAGGTGAAAGTTCTCTCTTAAATCCACCCAATGATATTTTGTAATTATTTAATAGTGATAAGGTTGATGATGAAATATTGTGATGAGAATTTTCCTTCATTGTTGCTGGTAATGTTGATGACCAAGATGATGAATTTCTTATTGTGGTAGTGGTGGTGGTAGGTACAGAGGAAGAAGGAATGGAAGACATTGCAATAGGTTCCTTGATTCCATTTCCTCTAATGAATGATGTTGTAGAAGTTGATGGTCGACTCGAATAAAGGCTTGTTATTGATGATGATGAATTAGTGATGGTGCTCGGTATATTAGTTTTTTGTACATTGATTGAAGAGAGAGTTGAGGAATTTAATATTGTGTTATTGTTATTATTAATAGTATTGGTATTAGTAGTATTCTTCTTTGCAAACAAGTGTTGATACTTTTCGCTTAACGACATGCCCTCATGTTGAGACATTTTTTTAAAAAATTTAACAATTCAAACAGAAAATTTTAGCGGGAAAGTTTGATAAAAAAAATGTTCAAAAGCCTTCTTCAACGTTCCTTCAATCTTCCCCATCACCACCGACATGAAGCCTTCGCAACAGCAACTAGCAAGCTATCCACTTCATTTATTGAAAAACAAAATCCATATTATTTATTAATTAAATCACAAACAAGCAACCAACAACAATATATTTTCGGAAATGAATTTTCTCAATCTATTAATCCATCCTCCTCATCATCATACACCTCTAAACAACATCAACATGTAGGACATCAAAATTGTTCATCCATTAATAAATCAACAACACCAATAGATGAAAAAGAAGAAGAAGCACCAATTATTAAAATTCAAAAATTACAAAAGGCTAATACAAGTAAAACCAATGTAGAACAATCAACAATTAATGTTGCATCACAAATAATGTTCGATTCTGTTGATATTACAAAAACATCAAAAGAAGAATTTCAAACCATCATGACAACATTGAGAAATCATTTAAAAACTATTAATCCTGAACAATATTCAATTGCATTACTTCAAAAAGATGAAATACAAGTTAATATATTAACAATATTATTTTGTTTAAATGCAGAATTAGCAACTATAAAGGATTTTACAAAAACACCATCAACAGGTTTATTACGTTTATCATGGTGGAAAGATCAAGTTAAGAATGCACTTGTTGGTTTACCTCCAAGAGTACCTGTTTTAATGGCTCTCTCTTTTATGCAAGTTAATTATTTTAATAAGGGTTTTACTTGTTTGAATGATAATTATCAACAAGAACAAGAACAATCTAATATTAATACTTCTACTACTTCTAATACTACTGGTTCAACTTCAACTACTTCAACTCAAAATAATAATTCATTGAAATTTTCACATTTAAGAAATATATTTAAATGGAGAGAAGTTGATTTGAAATGGAAACAACCAGCAACATTGGCAGATATTGAAAGTTATTCAGAAGGAGTATATTCAACATTAATAATGTCACATTTACAATGTAGTAAATATAGAGATGTACATACAGATCATGTTGCATCACATTTAGGTAGATCATATGGTATTTGTACATTATTGAGATCTGTTCCTCATTTATCTGAACATCAATCAACTTATTTACCTGCTCAATTATGTGCTAAATATGGAATAACAGAAGATGATATTTACAAACATCAAAATTCACATGAATTGGAAGAAGTTGTTTTTAAAGTTGCTGACTTGGCAAAATCTCATTTAGATTTAGCAAGAGAATTAGCAGATTTGAAAGATGAAAAAACAAACAAATTACTTGTCAATCCAAAGGCCTATCCTTTATTTATGACATCAATAGTTTGTGAAGTTTTCTTGGAAAAACTTGAAAAGGTTAATTTTAATATTTTTCATCCTTCTATTGGAGCTCAACAATTGAGATTTCAATTCTATTTAGACTTGGAAAAACAAGTTGGTTCGGAAAGTATTAAATTATTTTCAACTTGAATTACTATTTCCTTTTTTTTCTTATTTCTATTTTTCATTAATGTTCTTATTAATTGGTTGTTGTTGTTGTTTTGTCAGCATCATCATTATTACTAGCATCAGCATCATCATGATCATCTTCAACTAGATATGAATAACGTTTTGGTAATCTATCTTGTTGTTTTAAATAAGTTAAATATGAATCTCTCCAAATCCAAGGCATTTGATCCATATTAACATAAACATTTCTAGCTCTAACTTCTAAACGTTTCTTTGCTTCATCATCCATTAAAAATTTAGCTTTAAAACACCAACGGAATGTTTCCCATTCTTCTAAACATGGTCTAATTTGTCCTAATTCATAAAAATTTGATAAATTGCTTCTTCTACATTCTTGATAAATATCGAAATGATCCAAACAATTCATCATATTCTTTTCCCGATAAAATTTTGATGAAGGAATTGCTTTGTATCTGGTATCAAACGGATTATTCATTTTTTTAACTTTGATTTTTTAATGAGTTTGTGTGAAATTACAAATTGAGCTGAACACAAGATACCAATGATGAATAAAATTGGGTTACAATATAAACAATGTTTAATCTCGAATTAAATGTTAATTTGCTTTTGCAAACGATTTCTTTGAATCCAATTTTGGAATGCAGAATAAGCAATATCCAACTTGTTAACATCTCTAACAAATACTCTAACATATTTTTCAATGAATTGAGATGGAATTAAATAGGAAACTTGTTCTCTTGCAATTTTGAATGATTCATCACTGCCATTCTTATAGAAAAGACATTGATCAACAGGATTCTTATCTTTCAATGCATAGTTAATAGCCATGTTATGAATAATAATATCACTTGGTAAAAGTTCACCATCACCATTATGACATGAAGTAATATCAATCTCTTCTAATGATTCAAATTCCTTATGTCTATCAATAGGTAAAATAATTTCATCAACAAATTTGTAAAGTTGTCTTCTCTTAATTCTCTTTAAAAGTTGTCTTGATTTTTCCAATTCTGGAGCATCTGATGATTCAATACGATATAAAATAGAATCACTGAGATGAACATATTGTTCTGGATGATTAATCATTTCTGAAATCTTTAAATATGGGTCTGCTTCAACCAGAGCATCAGTAATCATATATTCTACAGATTTACCAACACGATGAGTATAAACTTGTTTGTGTAAATTATATCTGGTATGGAACATTTCATACAAATTGTAAACTTCCTTAGATGAGAAACAAATTTCACCACCAATAACTCTACTGAATTCCATTAATCTACTACTATCGTAAGATGAAATTAAACCCAAGTTTTGACAGTCACGTGTTAAATAATCAAACTTATCTACATCTACAGAGTTGAATTTGTTGGCAACAATTTGATACAAATATTGTCTTTCTTCTGATCTTTCTGAATTAGAAATTCTACCATCAATCATATCAAATACCATTTGTTTTTCTCTTTTTTGGAAATCTAAAAGTGAAATACCATCATAATCATAAAAATGATTTGGTTCAAAACACCCTTCTGAATATGTTGCTGTTTGTGGAGTATTTACAAAGTCATTCGGTTTTTCATGTAATAATTGAACCAAGTCATCATTCTTTGTCCTACCATGAATATCATTGGTGGTTTCTTCTAACATGTATTCAAACATTGTTTTACTTCCTTGCTCATGAGTCCAACCATTCTTTCTTTCTTCTGGAGTTCTATAATTTAATGCTCTTGGAATAAATTCATTATCAAATACGTGACTAAATGGACCATGTCCTAAATCATGACACAAGGCAGCAACTTGTAAAATGTACATGTCTGCAAAGTTTGGTTTGTTATGTTCTTTCATTGAGCCAATATGATAGAATTTATCAATCCATCTCTTTGATAAATGTGCAACACCTAAACAATGTTCAAATCTATTATGTGATGCACCTGGAAAGACGTGATAACAACTTCCTAATTGTTTCAAATCTCTCAGCCTTTGGAATGATTCAGTATCAATAACTTGTTTACAAATACCAGAAATGAATGCAATTTGTCCATGAATTTCATCCTTGAAAATACGTTCTCTAGTACAACGATCCATTGAGGTACTACTCTTTGGTCTATCAAAATATTCTGAATGGGTTGGAGAAATAAAAGTAGAATTATAGGGTGGTGTTAATTGATGATGATGATGTGGT